TTCAGATGTTGACATACTGTGGCTATGTCATTCACCTTGCAGTCGCTATGATTCTCCTTACATTTGAAACATATTCTTTGCTCACATGTTTCGTCATAGAGCTGTAGGGGATGATCAGCATGTTTTGTGCAGTAGACAGTCTTAGGAGTAGGTTCTCCATCAGATGATGTCAAGCTTTCCAATGGCACAACTGCATGCGACCTTGTTATCTTCATATCCTCATGGCTGGCCTGACAGTGCTCACACAAGAAGGCTTCACATTCATCACACCAGGACATGGCTTGGTTGCCGTCATCTTTGTTGGTACAAAGCACGGCGGAACCATCGTTTTCAGCAGTTTGGTGGAAGATATCTTTGATGACAACGACATCGGGAGGAAAATCAGTGTGTTCTTTATCAAATGTTTCCTGGCAGATGTCACACGTCAGAGTATCAGCGGTGTCAGTGTCTCGGCATGTCTGACACACCGAGTGGAGACAAGGTAGGAGTTGTGGATCAGGCCCGACATACTTGTACGAAGTGTGACACACTCTACACTGGGGTAGCTTCACTGCAGTCGCCATTGTCCTTTTTATTGTTATTATGTCCAAGTTGTGCACAGTTCTGGAAGATACGACGTATGGTATGTTATACATGCAAATAGAAAATAGAAAATTATAAATACATTGTGATAACATAATGTCTGAGATATCAGATGACGAACGTGCGCCCTGATTAAAGTTTTTTTGTTGTTGTTTTTTTAAAATGCTCTCAGCAAAGTCGGAGGGTTTGATCCCCGGCCACGTCATACCAAAAAGAGGAGACTTGATGTTACCCTGCATGCCACCCGGAATTAAGGGGCTAAAACAAGAACTGGTCGGCTCGGGGTATACTGTGTCTGAGTTGGGTATTCATGTTAACCTGCGGTATGGTATTTCAGTGGGGTATCACTATAAAATCGGCATTAGTCCGGACCCACAGCAGCCACACACACACGTGCATGCACGTCGCTACATAAATGTAATAATCTTGTGACGCGACGTTAACCCTTATTTCACATCGCCTCACATATAATGAGTATTTGCCAAACAAATTAGAAAACACCACGTCCTTCAGATACCAACACATTATATACGACAGTACAGCAACAAATACGTACAACTGTACAGCATCATTATCTTAACCACAACATTTATTTCACATGTACTGACATCGGCGGTTTTCATATGTGCCGATGTTACATACTAATATTATGTTTTAATTTTGTTTTTCTCATGTCTGTTGACACGATACTATTTGATGCATTTAAAGGTCGACGTTTACATAGAAACTGCAGCATGCAATAAATATAAATGCAAATTAAAGAAAATAACACACTAAACAATAAAAAATAATATCAAATAAATAATGTGCATCAGGCCATCACTGATAAGACATGCATAACAAGACATATCAAATTCGCAATTTCGCCAATTCAACGTAACTACACACGCAGCTACTACGCTTCCAAATCGCTCATTAGTTTCAAATATATTGTCCATTCGTCTCAAATAAAAAAAACCGAATGATTAGCCAAACATATCTCAAACACACACCTGTATATTCACCTGACACATTTCGTGTTACATTAACATGTCAATAAATGGCCTTTCAAGCACTTGTATTCGTGTATTAATGGTATTCGACCAATTCGATAACAATGAGCTGTTTATACTGCACGGGAGGTGTGATTTCTGTGTGCTGAAGGACGATACACGCGAGGTCGTCATACTATTCATGAATAGCGACAAAGAAACGGCTAGATTCTATCAGCAGACCACACAGGGCAGGCAAGTGTGTCGTGCCCCAGAACATGTCGGCGCTTGAAAACGAAAGTAGGACTGTTTAGTTGTCACCCGACACTAATGTGAAGACTTTAGACGTGTGTTTTATTAATTGTTTGGCATTAGTTAGCAGTTGACGAATGACTAAGTGCACACAATTTATGGATAACAACTTCTTTAATACTGTAAAGGCGACGTTTCGGTATAGATCCTTCTACCGTTGTCAAACAAGACTATGTTTTATGATTGAAGTTAAGCTATGCTTAAGATATGCAATGTAACAGATGAAATGCTTCCAGTGATTAAATGAAACACATGTAATTTCTCATACAGAAGAATATTATCTTATTTGATCATACTGATATCAGAGACGATCCACAACGCACCTACCTGGCACACAGCACGTCATGTATGTGTCGCTAGGTCACTTCCTGGTTAGAGTGCAAAGGTGAATTCTATTTTAACACACGTATACGAAGCTACGGGAGGTAGAGGTGGGTTGAAACGGGCTTAATCGCCGTCATCATGAAACGTTATTGCGTTCAACCACGGGTTGGCTGGCCATGTCTGAGATGTTACTTCCCAAACTGTCCCGTAGCCATACATGTATATGGATGCATTCCTTTTTACCTCAAGTAGTATTTCTCATTGACCTTATAAATTTCCTTGGAAAATGGAATCTCAATATATTAAGTTAGTACTTAATGGATGTAGAATGCACATTTCAGTATCTTTTGATAAGTATTATATTATCTTATATTACCTGTAGTGTCAGCAATGACTAAACATTTTATGTTTTCGTTCAATTACTGTGAAGCCCATTTCTGGTGTCCCCCGTCGTGATAATGCTGGAATATTGCCAAAAGCGGCCTAAAACCATACTCACCCACTCACTCTTTCATTGAAGTTACAATATGGATTTTTTGCGTGTAGGCTAGTGACGGGGATGACATTTTATCCCTTGTTTTACGAACAAGAAACTGTCAAAACAGATCTAACGTTTTAATATCCAATTTAAAGTCTCCGACAAATACATTAGTTATGAATAGTTCAATAACATAAATTGGTCAAATACACAGACAGTACATTATTGATTTATGAATAACACAAAAAATGTTTGTCATGTTAAGGTACCACTTAGGAAATGTTATTTGATTTTATTATATTTTTACCGGGCAATATCTTTTGACAGCAAAATATTAGTTTGTATTTCTAATCATTTTCTAATTACATTGTCAAATACTTCCATGCCATCTGATTATACATGTATATAGTAAAACTAAAAACATTTTGGCTCATTAAATATATTAGAATATGTAAAAAAAATAAAGAGAGCATAATTAATCATGCATTCTTGTGTTTATATAGATGTTTTTTTCACAATTTTAAAATATATGTCTTCCTACTACAGAATCGTAGTCGGGCCACGGTGACATTTTTTTTTTGTCTAAGAAACTCCTACGTAGGACTTATTATCTTCCACGTAGGACTTCCTATCTCCTATCTGGGACTGAGTATCTCCCAGCGTAGGACTTATTATCTCTTACGTAGGAGATAGTAAGTCCTACGTAGGAGATACTATCTCTTACATAGGACTTGGTATGGCCTAGAATCACTACGTAGGACTCAGTATTTCCTTCGTAGGACATAGTAGGACATCTCCTACGCTTCCGTATCCTTCCATATCTAGCTACCTGAGCAAAATTTAAAAAAATTAAAAAGGGAAAAAATATAATGATACTCGACGACTTTACAAGCTAATATTGCACGAAACAAATGTAGCATCTCCAGTCATGGATCGCTGACGTGATGCGTTCACGAGCGTCGGTTTACACAACGAACAGGATGTTGGTTTGTGCATCGACCAATCTAATGACTCGTGAGTAGGAATAATTCTTCATATATTAGTCAACATGTATGGTATTCGCGTTTCTTTTGTCAGTGAGTATATCAGAAGCAAAGTTCCCAGTATTGCAGTCAAGCATATCATACAAGGTGATACGAGGACGTTTATTTTTTAGTGGTCATAGTGAAATATATTTCTTCAAATCATTGAGCACACGAACATATACATTGAACAATACTTTAATCAAAGTAATTTACATGATTCATCAATACATTAATTGAATGTGATTCCTTGGCATTTAATTGGCTAACGCATTGTGACGTCACAGTCGTACATAGAAAAGCGCCAAATAGCAGGATCTCCATTATTCTTAAAACTTTAAGTACATTTTCTTTGTTGATTTTATCGTGTTTTCTGCACAATATGTATTGTCACACATCCATGGAGTATTGAAGCAACCGCAGTATGCATTTTGTAGTGTGTAATTATACATAAAGATATTTAAATATTCCAAACGGTACTTCCCAAATATATAGTAGAATGTATATTTAATGCTTATACATCTGAAGAAATAACTTGTTATATACATATACATTGGAAATATATATGATAGACTATCAGGTTTTTTATGCAGCGCGCGTGTTTATAAACATGTGTACACATATACCGTTCCATTGAAGGCAACGAAATCCATGAACATGGTTTAATTCATCCATGCTGCTTGTAATCCGTTGAATAATACAATGACACACCTTGAAGAGCATGCTAGTATTCGACCGTTTTGTTATATTTGATCAAATGGACATCAAAATAAAATAAAGTTGTTCGTGGTATTTAGGTATAAGATAATCAAACACACAATTATGCCATTTGCCACAAAGTCATTATACTTTATCATGTTACAAAAAATCGTTATCACGTCATTCGAAATAAAGCTGATGATGCGTTTTCATCGTATGTAAGTATACATAGCGATAATCACAGATTGGCTTTTAAAAATAAGAAATAAAACATCGATAATGTGATTACTACTATTTCCACACTGGATAACGACATTAAATAATTTACAATGGTGATGATGGAAGCATGCAATTATGAATATGCTAAACTTAGTACAAAGTCTTTAATAGGCATTTAGAAGTTTGAAGAACATGAATACATGACACATTTTATGGATATCAACTTCTTTTATTCTTTGTCAAGACGATTCAAAGGTATTTCGTTTGTGAATAGAGTTGGAATAAAGGAAGTTGATATTCCTAAAACAGTGTCATGTATTAGTACAGACAACTCAAAGATGATCACCGGTGATAAACATCTGCGTTATAAGCAGTGTTGCTAATTCTGTTGTGCTACTGTCTAGCTACCGAAAAAGCCATGGCTTTCTCCAATAACGATTTCTTCCACAGTGGTAATTGTATCTCTTTTCCCGACACCAGCTTCATCTGAACAGCAGCTAGGCAAGAGTTGTATGCTCCAAACACGGGCCAGAGGTCATCTGCCTGTTCTTCTGTGTCTAGTGTCACAAGTTCAGCTAGGGTGTTGAGGTCAAATATAGTGAGGGTGTTCCTGGTACCGTCAAACAGAAGCCCATGTCGCAGTGTGTCAGATGTTCCTGGACTGGTCGACAAAACGTTTTCGTAGCATCTCGAAAAAGACAACACACACATCTGCTTGGCTGTTCAGCGGATTAAGCTGCTGCATTAACACATGCCTTGGCACTATGTTGGTAAGAACGTTTAGGTACATCTAATATGTAACTGTACAATAATTGGCATGCATATATACTTTTTTAAATGGACTGTTTTAAGAAAACAATATGCGAACTTTATCAATCAGTCCAATAAACAGCCGTAAGAAACACCTCACTGATTATTTATCATCATCTACTCCCACGAAAATTTTCAATAGCAATATAAGCTACAAATCACTCCATTGCTCCCTTCAGCATTTTTGTCTTTGATTTTAAAATATTTATTTCTTTTCCCGACACCAGCCTTATCTGAACAGCAGCAAGGGAAGAGTTGTATGCTCCGAACACGGGCCAGTAGTCATCTGCCTGTTTTTCTGTGTCTAATGTCACAAGTTCAGCTATGGTGTTGAGGTCAAATATAGTGAGGGTGTTCCTGGTACCGTCAAACAGAAGCCCATGTCGCAGTGTGTCAGATGTTCCTGGACTGGTCGACAAAACGTTTTCGTAGCATCTCGAAAAAGACAACACACACATCTGCTTGGCTGTTCAGCGGATTAAGCTGCTGCATTAACACATGCCTTGGCACTATGTTGGTAAGAACGTTCAGGTACATCTAATATGTAACTGTACAATAATTGGCATGCATATATACTTTTTTAAATGGACTGTTTTAAGAAAACAATATGCGAACTTTATCAATCAGTCCAATAAACAGCCGTAAGAAACACCTCACTGATTATTTATCATCATCTACTCCCACGAAAATTTTCAATAGCAATATTAGCTACAAATCACTCCATTGCTCCCTTCAGCATTTTTGTCTTTGATTTTAAAATATTTATTTCTTTTCCCGACACCAGCCTTATCTGAACAGCAGCAAGGGAAGAGTTGTATGCTCCGAACACGGGCCAGTAGTCATCTGCCTGTTTTTCTGTGTCTAATGTCACAAGTTCAGCTATGGTGTTGAGGTCAAATATAGTGAGGGTGTTCCTGGTACCGTCAAACAGAAGCCCATGTCGCAGTGTGTCAGATGTTCCTGGACTGGTCGACAAAACGTTTTCGTAGCATCTCATCTTCTGGCCATTGCTCCAGATCTTTGCACAGCCTCCTTTGTGTGTAGAGCAGTGTGCGATGACGAGACACATGGATCCTTTCTGCCCGCTCATGCAGTAGCTGTTGTCCAGGCATGCTCCCCTAGCCACACCTATTTCCATAAGTAGGCCATGTTGCATTTCAGAGGCCACGTTGAAGTCTGACTCCACCTCCCAATAGCTGACTTTGTCTTTGGGTAGAGGTGTAATAGCCGTTGTCCCAACATACTGACCTAGTTTCCTTTCTTGGGAGACTTTACTATTAACCAGGAACCCTTTGTTGTTGACATGGACCTTATTGTTGTTGATTCTTTCCACGTCAAACGACAAAGCAGGATCTGCAATGTACCAACACCTTGTTTCTGCATATCATTTGGTATCATTATTTTTTTCTAAATTGTAATCTCTGAATTCTTTACGCTCGCACTATTTACTGGGTCTGTGGCTAGTCTGGTGGTTAAAGCGTTCATTCGTCACGCCGAAGACCCGGGATCGATCCCCACATGGGTACAATGTGTGAAGCCCATTTCTAATGTCCCCCGCCGTGATATTGCTGGAATATTCCCACTCACTGTAATATGTTCTAATCATAATTAATGTTTCTACGCTGACATTAGTGTTTCCGTGTCTGCATAAAGATACGTTCAGTGTAATAAAAAAGATTCCAGTGCATGTTTTGTTTCATTCAGTTTCCCCATGCGTATTATTTCGTTTTATTACAGTTATTGATTTGTCTGTAATGCACAGTCTTTAAACTATTAGCTTGGCGTCACGCTTTTGATGTTGCAGCTGATTCTGAACCAGATTTCACAGAGGCAGATTCTCGTATTTTCTACACCAAATTCAAAATAATTACAAACATACTGAAACAACATTTACATATTGTCAGTGATGACAAACACCAAGATATGTGGTAACTAAGAGTGTGTGAGTCCGGCAATATTACGGTGGGGACACAAGAAATAAGCTTCAGCCATTTGCGTAAAGAGCGAACGCTTTAACCACTATCATCTTCAAAGAAAGCTGCTAACATACAATATAAATGTTTTCAACAAACCCATATACATGCTATGTAATCGGGATAAATGTTTCTTCACTGAACGTAATTTACCTGAATTAAAACTCAGTCTATATTAGATAAATTATCAAGGATACTCATGAAACCGGAAAAGGTCAAATAAACATACAATGCATGCATGCAGATCAAATTGTTCATACATTGTGGGATTCCTCTCTGGAGAAACCCTGGTAAACCTGATGTTTTTTTACATAAACCTTATTCGTTTTAATCCTTTCAAAATCAAATGCCGAATTCGGACTTTAGATATAGACTAGGAAAATCTAAGGACAATATTTGAGTCAAGCAGATTATCATGCATGTTATTTTAAAATTGTTAATTATTAAAGCTATTGCCTTCATTATTATGACATATTAACAACATTGAATTCAGAACAAACAAGTTGTTGATGTGTTTTCCACGTTGCTCCGTTTGCTTCAAATGTGCGAAAAAAAGAAACACGTTTGGTGTGGAATGATTTCACTTACACAATCTCTCTTCTACTGGCTCAAGGTGACGTTTCTCGGCTGAAGAAGAAGTTAATGCAAATATGATCCAAGCAAACGTGTAAAGGTATGTTCATTTCGTTTGGCATTATACAGTTTCAATGTTACCATAGCACAACAATTTTATCGTTTTAGACAATGATATTTCAATCCTATCTCTGCTGTTGTTCGGGCGTCACATAAGTTACAAATTTGATTTGACATTAAATCTCTTTTTAATTGTTTAAAAATACCATTATCAAAAATTTCTTTCATTTATTTCTAACCTGAGCCCTTCTTGTCGTTTTCCTTGTCTTGGCTGTGAATGTCAGACTCAGTTGTTCCAATGGATGAAATAACTTCTTCAAGATGTTCCATCTGGTCCTTCGAGAAGGACAGTTGCATTGCTTCAACCTCAGCCCCCGCAACATCCTCAGCTAAACAGTTTTCCGTCTGTATTTTCATGCATTTCTCCAGCATCAGGATATCACTGGGAGGCCCATATTTCAGCAGTTTTTCAGTAAAGTCATGTGTGTCCTCACATTTACGTAGAACGTTTTGCAATCCCAAGTTAATCCTTGAAATGTCCACCAGGTTAAGTCTATGCTTGGAGTCTAATTCTTCTTGTAGTTCTGCTTCACGTTTGGTGAGGCACACCTTTAGATGATGGAATCTATTTGACAGGAGTGTCTTTGAGTCGTTGTAACTTGCTTCCGAATTCTCTCGCGTTGTTTTGGTTTCTGTCATCGCTTTCCGGATTTCTTGTAACTTTTCTTCTAATTTAGCTTTGCGTTGTTTCGTCGTGCTTTTCCCCACATTAGCTGCATCTTCCAGTTCCTGCACAACACAATGCTTATGTTCTGACCGTACGCATTTAGAACAAATGAGAGTCTCACAAGTTTCATCGTAAAGGTCAAGAAAGTACTCATCGTGATCAGTACAGAGGGCACTGGGGGGCGTCAGTCCACCTGCTTTCATATCTCCCACTGGCAACATCTGATGGGTCCTGGACGTCTTAACTTGGTTGTGAGCAGATTCACATGACCTACAAAACATGGCCTGGCAGTTCCTACACCATGACCTGGCAGTCTTTGCTGAATTACCGTGGTCTTTATTGGTGCATGTGACCTCTGATGGCTTCAATTTGAGGGTTGAGGATAGTATATCCATTTCAGTGACATGGTCCTTTGGCAAAACGATCGTTCTTTTGTCGAAAGAATATCTACAAAATGAACACTGTACCGTTTCGCATTCAGCTCCGATGCAATCAGCACACACAGGATGTAAACAAGGGAGAAGGTATGGCTCGGCTCCTTTGTATCTGAATGGCGTCTCACAAGCACTGCATTGTGGGATTCTAACTGTGATTTTGGTGGCCATGATGTTGGAAACCTTATAAACGAAAATTAGGTATATGTACAAAATCAGTATGTCTAAGATTATAACAGGTAATTAAAATAATGTACCTTCAGGACGTCATTTAACCTGTATGGAGATTATTATTCATATATAATTTTTAAGGCGATATTCTCCTTACCAGTATAATTCAGCTTCGATGTTCGTATTGCGATGGTTGGATGATGTTGTTCAAAGGCTTTCGCTTAGAAATTCAGACATTAGACTCCGTTAGCTACCGTCGTGGAGACACCATCCACAGGACGTGTATGACTGGGGGCGTTTGTAAACTTCGAACCACAAAATGACAGCCGACACTCTGATAAGCTGTAGTTGATGGCCGTGTGTCACATGATAGGTGACACACTCTGACCGACTAAGCTGATATGCAGTGCAAAAGTGTTTTTTTTATCTACACTAAATGTAAAGCTAAGGACTGTAACATGGTCATTATTATCGAACTTAATTTAATCATCTCTCTAAATATATCTCCTGTACCCTCATTCAGTCACGAGTACCGTACTGACTACCCAACTATATATGTATACTTAATGAAGGCTGTACTTGTCAAAATCTGACACATTTTAGGTTTTAATGGAGACATTGCAGTGGTTTTAGATACCATGAAAAATATTATTTCTTAACCTGCAAAACAACTGGATATTTGTGATCAAATCGTTTACAACGGGTGGAACTTGTAGATGTCCACTTGCGGTGTGTGTGTTAATGTCGTGTAACTCTGCATCCAGGTTTACTACTACATACAACATTAAGTATAGCTAAGTACAGATATTATTAAGGTCATCATTGGCGCTGCTCCTCCAAAATAGGTTGTACCTACGCTCTTCCCACTTTCCAAGTTTAACCCGACTGTTTCAGCACTTTCCATCCCCCAAGTATAACCCTATTGCTTCAACTTTCTTTCCACTTCCAAGGTTTAACCTGACTGCTTCATCATTTTACACTCCACAAGTATAACCCGACTGCTTCCACTATTTACACTTCCTAAGTAGACCCGATTGCCGTCACTCTTTCCACGTCCTAAGTATAACCCGACTGCTTCCACTGTTAACACTTCCTACGTAGATCCGATTGCTTCCACTTTTTCGACGTCCTAAGTATAACCCGACTGCTTCCACTATTTACACTTCCTAAGTAGATCCGATTGCCGTCACTCTTTCCACGTCCTAAGTATAACCCGAATGCTTCCTCTATTTATTTTTCCTAAGCAGATCCGATTGCTTTCACTTTTTCCACATCCTAACTATAACCCGACTGCTTCCACTATTATACTTCCTAAGTAGATCCGATTACCTTCACTTTTTCCCGTCCCCAGTACAATCCGACTGCTACCACTATTTAAAGTCCATAAGTAGATCCGATTGTTTTCACTTTTTCCACGTCCTAAGTATAACCGGGCTGCTTCCACTATTTACGCTTCCTAAGTAGATCCGATTGCTTCCACTTTTTCCACGTCCTAAGTATAACCCGACTGCCTCCACTATTTAGGCTTGCTAAGTAGATCCGATTTCCTTCACTTTTTACCGTCCTAAGTATAACCCGACTGCTTCCACTATTTAAACTTCCTAAGCAGATCCGATTGCTTTCACTTTTTCCATGTCCTAAGTATAACCCGACTGCTTCCACTATTATACTTCCTAAGTAGATCCGATTACCTTCACCTTTTCCCGTCCCCAGTATAATCCGACTGATACCACTATTTAAAGTCCATAAGTAGATCCGATTGTTTTCACTTTTTCCACGTCCTAAGTATAACCCGACTGCTTCCACTATTTACACTTTCCACTCCCGCTCTGTACACTGCTTCCTCAGTGCTTTAACCCTTGGCAGTGCTTCCCTACTTTCCACCTCCCGAAGTGCTTCCGCTCTTTGTACTGCTCACAGCCTTACCTGAGTCCTGCCACTCACTGGTTCGATATGCCAGGTGGTTGATGTCGCACTTTAATATGCGTCAACCAATTACACGAATTATTCCACATTTATACTTCTCGTCAATTCGAATCCTTGTATGCCCTGATTATGTTTCTGGGTTTTTCAACACTATTACAGTGTTTGTGGATTTCACCAAAGTGGTAAACGTTTTAGACCTACCCAACAAGCTGACAAAATTACACCAAGTTCTTTCAAACGTTAGCTTGACCTCAAATTACCTTTACTCCTATCACTGCCCCAGATTTTAGTATGTGTATAAGTGTTAAAAAAAACTTTTCAAAATATATTAAATTGTCAGAGTGCTTCAAAACCTCTGCCGTAGAATACCAGAATGAATCCGTCCTCCCCATTATACTCTTCCTTATGGGTTTACGTTAAAGAAAACATCTGTAATCTGCACCATCTTGTGCTCTGGTCTCGCATTAAGCTCTGACATAACTGATATACTGTTCAACGCGGCGTTAAAAACAACTTACTCAATCACACACGTTGTGATTCAACACTTTACACTTCCTGGACAGTTGTACCTTATATGTCTTTAGAGATAAGCCCTCAATCATCATGCTGTGCATATTGACTCATGTGCACTGCACGTCGCTGCAAGTCGTGAGCTCTATTATACAGACCTGTGCTCATCCATATATGGGCCAACTGCTTGAGTAAAGACTCAACACTGCATTATCTTTTTATCTTGATTTGAATGGTGTCACGAGAGAGTGATTGGACTGTGCGATGTCTGTAATGTGTGTAGATTATGTAAGTGGCTTGTTGTGTGCCAGGAGTGCGTGGTGTACAACAGAAAGTGACCTGATTATCAGGATAGCCTATGAAAATGTTCACGCAGCTTCGGTCGATAAGGCTGTTGTGAAATTTTCCCAATATGTTTTAGTAAATATCTGCATAGTTCTGGTAAATTTGCACATTCACTGTAACACATTATTTTCTAGCATACATATTTATTACACACACACGGGTTGCTGAAGGCCAATTCTAACCCGGATCTTCACAGTATATACAAATACATTATATATATATACATTATATATATACACATACCTATAGATAGATAGATAGATAGATAGATAGATAGATAGATAGATATAGATATAGATAATATAGACATATGTATGTAGATAGAAAGATAGATATAGATATATAGATATGTAGATAGATAGATATATACATCGAATAAGTATGACAACTACGATTTCTCTCACAATTGAACTATGTGTGGTATATGTGTAAATGATATGACACGAAGTTATAGATAGTGTTTTGGCAGTCGTCATTGTACGTACATGTATATGTCAAATCACCATCATTATTGCAGAAAGTCATATGTAGTATGAATTATTGTGCAAACACTTCTGGGCCAGGTATTCTAATGATTATTCTGCGTATGTTCATAGTCGTTTGTATTGTGAATAACTGTGTATTTATAGCTATTCTGAGTGTGCTCTCATGCTTGATTGTATGTTGGATAGTTCATGGAAGATCAACAGTTTTGAGTATGTGTATTCACGCTGAATGTAAGTTGAATGGTAATGTGTAGCGGTGTGTATGTATTGGAGTATATAATGTCCGTATATCAGATGACGACCGAGTCCAGTAAACGTCTCGGGTGAGAGGAGGTGAGGTGAACTGGGGTTTAACTTCGCGTTCATGATTTTTTTCCTTACATAGCGTATGTGTGTATGCTCACTGATATACCATGCCTCCGTTTGACATGTCTACCCCACTCAAACACGGTATACTGACTCCGAGCCGACTTGCCCTTGTTTTAGCCCCTTAATGACGAGCGCCAGGCAGGGTAACATCAAGTACCTTTGTTATGACGCGTCCGGGGATCTAACCAACGACATTCCGTTCCCGGCCAGACGCTCTTTCCAATCGATCACGGAGGCGGTGAGGTGAGGTGAGGTGAGGTGAGGTGAGGTGAGGTGAGGTGCAAAATTTCACTTGGATACCCAACTTATTAATTGTCTCCGGGCAGACCAATCCTTGTTTTATCCCCTTCCTGCCTAGCGCCTGGCAAATATCATCTTTTAGCTCCTTTTGGTATGACGCGACCGGGGATCGAACCCCGGATCTTCCGCTTTCTGTGAAGGCGCCCTATCCACTCGACCAGGGAGGCGGTCATAGTCATGAAGGAGTTTTAGTGATTTGTGCGTAATCTGATAGAGTATCTGTGTATGTATGAGCGGCAGGATGAGAGTGGGTTCAAATGAAACTCAATTGGGATGATTAAATCATTAAGATTAGTTTCAAAAGTATTATGAGTTCATATCTGGCTAGTTTTTGCTCCCTGTTTGGAGAATAGCTGACAAAGAAGCGACAATACCCTTTCCAAAGTCATAAGAAGCGCTTTTTATTATTCTTTGTATCATATACATGCAGCGAAACAATATAAACATATCCTTGCACATAACCTTGAACATATATTTATCTTTAACCATCAACATAACGCAGGTACAAATAATGTATTTTACACCTTGTATACACACACACACACCAATTTTGTCATTTTAACTTCATATCTATAGTTTAACCACAGAGAGAAATCATGACAGTTTGTACAGTCATTATGATGAAGATGGGGAAAATTTTGATAAATGTGTAGATAAGAAAACTGTATATGTGGTGTACATTACTTACATATACGGTATGTTTATCATGTATCTTGTGGCTTGGAATGAACTTTTAGATTTTCACAGTTACGAATTGAATTAACAATGGCGAAACGGGTAAATAGTAAAATAATACACAAGTACAATTCTTGGCATGAAACAGACAACACACGCATCTGCTTGGCTGTTCAGCAGATTAAGCTGCTGCATTAACACATGCCTTGGCAATATGTTGGTAAGAACGTTTAGGTACATCTAATATATAACTGTACAATAATTGGTATGCATATACACTTTTTTAAATGGACTGTGTTAAGAAAACAATATGCGAATGTAGATAGTGATGTTATCAATCAGTAAAAAAAACAGTCGTAAGAAACACCTCACTGATTATTTATCATCATCTACTCCCACGAAAATGTTCAATAGCAATATAAGCTACAAATCACTCCATTGCTCCCTTCAGCATTTTTGTCTTTGATTTTAAAATATTTATTTCTTTTCCCGACACCAGCTTCATCTGAACAGCAGCAAGGGAAGAGTTGTATGCTCCGAACACGGGCCAGTAGTCATCTGCCTGTTCTTCTGTGTCCAGTGTCACAAGTTCAGCTATGGTGTTGAGGTCAAATATAGTGAGGGTGTTCCTGGTACCGTCAAACAGAAGCCCATGTCGCAGTGTGTCAGATGTTCCTGGACTGGTCGACAAAACGTTTTCGTAGCATCTCATCTTCTGGCCATTGCTCCAGATCTTTGCACAGACTCCTTTGTGTGTAGAGCAGTGTGCGATGGCGAGACACATCGATCCTTTCTGCCCGCTCATGCAGTAGCTGTTGTCCAGGCATGCTCCCCTAGCCACACCTATTTCCATAAGTAGGCCATGTTGTTGCATTTCAGAGGCCACGTTGAAGTCTGACTCAACCTCCCAATAGCTGACTTTGTCTTTGGGTAGAGGTGTAATAGCCGTTGTCCCAACATACTGACCTACTTTCCTTTCTTGGGAGACTTTACTATTGACCAGGAACCCTTTGTTGTTGACATGGACCTTATTGCTGTTGATTCTTTCCACGTCAAACGACAAAGCAGGATCTGCAATGTACCAACACATTGTTTCAGTAGAATACCTTGATTCTGTAAATCATTGAGTATCATTATTGTTTTCTCAACTGTAGTCTCTTTTCTTTACATTTATATGATTTATTAAGCATTCTCTACTGACATGAAGGTAATATTGTGATAACCATTGTTGATCATCTGCGCATCTACTTACATGACAAAACATGATTGCCAGTGATCAACTCTTCTCCGTTGTCCTCTTCGTTTTCTTCGTTGTGTTCTCTTTCCTTTTCTTCTTCGGTGTCAGGATCCATGTCAAGGGGCTCCGTTTCTGCATCATGAAAATGTTTAATGTTATGTAAGCCAATTCAGAGAACGTTTTGTGTTTTTTATTTAACTTTGTCATATTATTACATAACAGTTATTTGTTTTTCTTTAATGCACAATTCATAATGTTGAAATTATCCTTACCCAAATCAGCACGAGGTTTGAAAAACAAAAGTTCAATAAATCAGTTCAGATGTGTCAGTACCTGATATCATGTCTGAAAGTTTACTCTCGTCCACTGTTGAAAACATTGGAAGATAGTTTCCCTGTGCTTGGGGATCTGAAACATAGTGCATGTCAATGATGCGAAAGCACACACACACACACACACATTTATATATTTATTATGTTTTCATTTCAAGGTAAATCTTAAAGGATGTCATCATCGTTGCTTTCATAAAATATTATCAGCTTTCACGTGTCTAGGTTCTCCTCCTGTAAGCGACAGCTGTTGACATAAATCACAAATGTTCTCAACAACCCATAAACATGATTGCGGATTGTTCATGACTGGAACAAAAACTAAATGTTGTGTTTGCAACTCGATGTTAAAGCATTTCTCAACCATATGACATGAATCAGAAAGGTAATACTGACAACCGTTACCTATGAAAATGCAGAATGTACAAGTATTTAAACATCCTAAAAATAGCAATGCTGAGGGATTTGTAAAATACCCTGATGTATTTAGTTCTATAACACACACAACCATCTTGATGTAATGCTCTATTGATGAAACTTTTGCAACATAATATGTTCCAGTGCTCCTGTGAGAGTTCACGACCAAATCACAATGAATATTATTATTCAATGCTCTTTCAGAAAAAAACAAAACATATGTAATCTTTTTGGGACGGCTTTCATTGGAATTCAACAAAAATTCAAGCCATACCTTTCTCAGAAGTTTCAGTATCACTGTTTGGTCCCTCAAAATTGGCATACAAATTCATAAAGCTGCCATCATCCCCCTCCTTGGTCTCAATGTCGCACACGGTTTGTAAAACATTTTCAAATGATTGTATTTTCTCCCTCGAAAATGTTACATGAACTGGTACAACTTCAAACATCTCGGCCTCCTCAGATAAAGCCATTTCTGTCCTGAACTTCACATACTTCCTCAGCATCAGGATGTCGCTCGTGTTTCCATGCTCCAGCAGTTTCCCTGTGTAATCATGGGTGTTCTTGCATAACCTGACAATCCGCCTGAGATTGTTACTGACCCTCGCAGCCTCATCCATCTCAGACAGGTGTCTGAACTCCAAGGTTTTCCTCAATTCCGCTTCTCGTTTTGTAATCAAGTCACGGAGGCTGTTAAATCTTTGTGACAACAAATCCTTCAAATCGTTGTGCCTATCCTTCATCGTCTCCTGTTTTGTGTTTGATTCGTCGATCATATCCTTGAAATGTTGTAACTTGGCTGCCAATTTACTCTTATCTTCTATTGTGTCTTCCTCCACGGCACCAGCAGCCTCGTCTAACTCCTCAGTCTTACAATGCTTATGATTTGACCGAGCACATTTTGAACAAATGATAATCTCACACGTTTCATCGTAAAGATCCAGAGCATACGATTCATGGTCTGGACAAAGCGACTTCTGTGAACGCACATCCGCTGGCTTCATGTCCTTCAGAGACACCATCCCATGGGTGCTGGAACTCCTCACCTGATTGTGTGCAGCTTGACACGATTGACAGAAGAAGGACTCGCAATCCTTGCACCAGGATACTGCATCCAGGCTATGATCTTTGTTGGTGCATTTGATCTCCGATGGCTTGTGTTTTAGGGTAGTGGCAAGGGTTTCTACTTGAGTGACGGTATCATTTAGGAAAATGAATTGCTCTTTGTCAAATGACTCTCTGCATAACAGGCATGTTATTGTTTCACGTTGAACGCTAATGCACCCAGCACAGGCTGCATGTAAACACGGAAGAAGGTACGGATCTATCCCTTTGTACTTGTATGGCTTCTTACAAACACAACAATGCGGACACTGAGCTTTAGACGCCATGATATATGATCCTATACGAACCACTGGAACGACACAGAAAAGACAACACATTTATATAAAGTGAATACATATAAGCTAAACTATATCAACCTACATTTAAGACGTTATCGATTATTACATTACTGCTTACTCTGTCAATAGACGTTATTTCGTATATAGAAAATCCAGACATTGTATCACCCAGGTGTTTAAAACTTACCTGGATGGGACTCACGGTTTAGAAACATGTACAAACGTACCCCTCCTGTTCTCGGTAATGTCTAATATGAATATAGATGTCTTGCGTTGCCTGTTGGATAAACCTGTCTCGACTGAGACCCACCCTTCTCGCAAGAAATAACTGACCCGAATCAGGTAGTTGGAGATGCAGCGTGTGTGTCAGACTGTGCCCTTCACTGGCGCGTTGACAAAAGATATGTCACCCGCTCTGTCGACAGATGATACTGCACAAGGTCGCGCAGGTTATTTTTGACTGTGGCGTCTGTCCAGGTGGCAACACTACACACTGATTACACCAAGAGAATAACCTAGGACGTGGTCTATTTCATTTAAGAGTAACTATGCATATTTTGTGCAGGTTTATATGCGCCCCGCTACGGATTGTGGGCAGGCCTATACACTTCATATTAACATACAACTCTACATAACTTTGCAACAACTGCACTCAGTGTGTATGGCTTCAGGGTAGTAGATACTAGTACATGCCGTGGACGTATCACAAGGGTCTCCTAAACAGTAATGTGATTGTTGTATCAGCCTACGAACATGTAGATAATTATGATGTTGAGTGACAGGTGAAACTCAATTGTTTGCGAGTCTGACGCGATCTCAACTGGACTTGTTAGCCTTCGAGGAGTACACACATCTGATAGCCTTCAAAGAGGACACACATCTGGTAGCCTTCGGTGAAACCACAATTTGATAGCCTTCGGTGAGGTTTGTTGTTTAACGCCGCATTCAGCAATATTCCAGCTACATGATGGCTGTCTGTAAATGATCGAGTCTGGACCAGACAATCCAGTGATTAATATCATGATCATCGATCTACGCAGTTGGGATACGATGACATGCATCAACCACGCGATCCCGTTAGTCGCCTCTCAAGACAAGCACAGTCGTCTTTTACGGCACGCACGGGTTGCTGAAGACCTATTCTACCCCGGATCTCCACGGGTCCCTTCGGTGTGGACACACGTGTGAAACCCTTCGGAAGGGATACACATCTGGTAGCCTTTGCTGAGAACACACATCCGAAAACCTTCAATGAGAGCACATATTCGATAGATTTCGGTGAGGTCTCAAATCTGATAGCCTACGGTGAGATAACACATCTGGTATCCTTCGGGGAAAACTGACATCTGGTAGCCTTCGGTGAGGAAACATATCTGATAGCCTTCGCTGAGAACACATATCTGGTAGCCTTCGCTGAGAACACACAACCGAAAACCTTCAGTGAGAGCCCATATTAGAAAGACTTCGGTGAGGTCACACATCTGGTAGCATTCGCTGAGAACACACATCTGGCATCCTCCGATGAAAACACACATCTGGTATCCTTTAATGAGAACACACATCTGGTAGCCTTCGCTGAGAACACACATCTGGTAGCCTTCACTGAGAACACACGTCTGGTAGCCTTCGATGAAAACACGATCTGATAGCCTTTGGTGAGGTTTGTTGTTTAATGCCGCACTCAGCAATATTCCAGCTATATGATGGCTGTCTGTAAATGATCGAGTCTGGACCAGATATCCCAGTGATTAATATCATGATCAACGACCTACGCAGTTGGGATACGATGACATGCATCAACAAAGTTCGCGAGCCTGACTACCCGATCCCGTTAGTCGCCTCTCAGGACAAGCACAGTCGTCTTTTACGGCACGCACGGGTTGCTGAAGACCTATTCTACTCCGGATCTCCACGGGTCCCTTCGGTGTTGACACACGTGTGAAAGCCTTCGGAAGGGATACACATCTGGTAGCCTTCGCTGAGAACACACATCCGAAAACCTTCAATGAGAGCACATTTTCGATAGACTTCGGTGAGTTATCAGATGTGATAGCCTTCAGTGAGATAACACATCTGGTATCCTTCGGGGAAAACACACATCTGGTAGCCTTCGGTGAGGACACATATCTGATAGCCTTCGCTGAGAACACATATCTGGTAGCCTTCGCTGAGAACACACATACGAAAACCTTCAGTGAGAGCCAATATTAGAAAGACTTCAGTGAGGTCACACATCTGGTAGCCTTTGCTGAGAACACACATCAGGTATCCTCCAGTGAAAACAAACATCTGGTATCCTCCAATGAGAACACACATCTGGTAGCCTTCGCTGAGAACACACATCTGGTAGCCTTCACTGAGAACACACATCTGGTAGCCTTCGCTGAGAACACACATCTGGTAGCCTTCGCTGAGAACACACATCTGGTAACCTTCACTGTGAACACACATCTGGTAGCCTTCGCTGAGAACACACATCTGGTAGGCTTCGCTGAGAACACACATCTGATAGCCTTCGGTAGGGACACACATCTAACCGCCTTCGGTTGAGACACACATCTGGTAGCCTTCACTGAAGACACACATCTGGTAGCCTTCGGTGGGCACACACATCTTATCGCCTTCCGTGGGACACACATCTGATAGCCTTTGGTAGGGACACAAATCCGAAAACCTTCAATGAGAACACACATTCGATAGACTTCAGTGAGGTCACACATCTGATAGCCTTCGGTTGGACACACATCTGATTGCCTTCGATGATAACCCACATCCGAAAACCTCCAGTGAGAGCACACATTCGATAGACTTCAGTGAGGTCACACATCTGATAGCCTTCGGTGAGAACACACATCTGGTAGCCTTCGGTAAGGACACACATCTGATAGCCTACGGTGAGATAACACATCTGGTATCCTTCGCTGAGAACACTCAACTGGTATCCTTCGCTGAGAACACACATCTGATAGCCTTCGGTGAAAACACACATCTGGTAGCCTTCGGTGAATTTACACATCTCATAGCCTTCTTTATCTGATAACCTTAGTTGACACACATGCGACACACGTCTGATAGCCTTCGGTGAGGATACACTTCTGATAGCCTTCGGTGATAACACACATCCGAAAACCTCCAGTAAGAGCACACATCTGATCGCCTTCAGTGAGAACACACATCTGATAGCTTTCAGTGAGAACACACATACGATAGCTTTCAGTGAGAACACACATCCGATAGCCGTCGGTGTGCAGACACATCTGATAACATTAGTTGACACACATGCGACAGCATTCGATGAAAATACACGCCTGGTAGCCTTCGGTGAAGACTTCAAAACAATCAATGACAGAAACAATATTCCGTCGTTGGCAGCGGGTGTTTACCTTACAATTCGGCTTTATTAATGGTGGCCAAACACGCGCTCTACCACAGAACAGTGTTAGCATGAGTGCTCTAGAGTTACTTCCCCTCCACTGTAAAGCGATTTAGGCATAACTCGCCTGCGTTGTAGAACTAATTACATGAACTAAATTATACGCTACATTACAACACAATTCAGTTGTCACACGGGGAGGTAAGTTGAAATGGGGTTTAACGTCGCCCAGTCATTATTTTCGTTATTATAGTTATCATTGTGTCTGCTGGGGAAGGCGGTGGGTTAGATCCCCGGCCGCGTCATACCTAAGTTCTTGTTTTTACCCTACCTGGCGCTCGGCATTAAATGGGTACAACAAGGACTGGTATGCTCGGAGTCAGTATACTGTGTCTAAATGTGGTATTCATGGTAAACTGTGTCATGGTATCTCAGTGGGTTGGCGCTATAAATCGGCATTAGTCATGTGTATGCACGTCGCTATATAAGTGCAATAATCTTGAATGCTATGTTAAACCCCATTTCCCATCCCCTATGCCATGATGTCTAATGCCGGTTTTATAGTTTTAGCCTAATAAAATACCATGCAGTTTAGCAAGGATACCTCACTCAAAAACTTAACACTGCCTCAAAGCCGACCAGTCCTTCTTTACCCCCATAATGCAGAGGACCAGGAAGAAACGTGAAGAAGGATATGAGCCCGTCTTCTTAGACGAGACATGGGTAAATGCGTCACACACAGCCAGCAGTCAGTGGGTACCCAGTGGTGACTGAAAGGAGTCTGGTAGACAGTTATCAATGGGAAAGGGTGAAAGACTCATAGTTCTCCATGCTGGTTCTGCTAGTCAGGGTTTTCTCCGAGACTGTGACCTCGTCTTTAGAGCCAAGGCCAAAGACACCAGGGACTACCACACAGAAATGAACGGCAATGTATTTCTGGAGTGGGTGAAAGATAAATTAGTCCCTGCTTTGCCTACCAAGTCTCTCATTGTCATGGACAATACACCGTATCATAGTGTGCAGGATCCAGAAAGCAAGACTCCAACCTCTAATAACCGTAAAGGAGACGTGGGGTTATTTGGCTGCAATGGAGGAACATACCTTTCCTTCTCTATGAAATCATCAAAACTATGAAACCTGTCCCCGTGTATAAAGTTGACAGTTAGATCAAGGGTCAGGGTCACGCTGTCTTACGACTGCCACCTTATCACTGCGACCTGAATCCAATCGAGTTGGTATGGGGCATCGTCAAGGGTGACGTTTGACAATCGAACACAACGTAACGTGTAACGGGTAACAGTAGATAGAGCCACGTTATTGGTCACGAGGTGGACTACGGCCAGCAACAGTCCAACCTATAATAGTGGCAGTCGGTTCAGGCACCAGCAGTTCCGACGACGAGATCTATGAGATTATATGAGCGAGTCAGATTGCGATTGAAATTATCATGAGACGGCCCCTCTAACGCTCTGTCATTTCCCCTACCACAGAACGTGCAGTGCATGCGTGCTTGTGCTGTGCCTTCAACGGTTTGTCCCCCCTTCGTGTCATGTACACATTTCTATACAAAATTACATGGTAGTTTCTTAAAGAACTTCATCCGTCATGGGTCTTAAAATAAACAAAATTCAGATTTTGTTGGGTACATGGTATTCATGGTCAAGTACCGTATTGATGTTTCATACACTTTTCTGGATTTCGAGTTATTTGGCAATTCATCGTTCTCATTTGGAGTCAAACGGACTGTACATGATACCCTCCTTGTCAGCCTCTTTGCGTGTGTCCTCTTCTACCTTGGCACCATATCTGCAACGTGGCATGGCGCCGGGTGAGAATAAACTGGATGATGTGAGGTATACATAGGGCATTTCTGAACATGAGGTCCTTTATAAATTGATCAGTGTTACAGTTCAAAAGAGATGCCTCATAACGAATGGAATAAAGGAAATCGCAAAAACCTTCATGTTCTTTTTGTTTTCTGTCTATCAGGTCATTCTTGCGGTCTATAACCTGAATAGACGTGGGGCCATACCATTGCACAAAAAGATTGTTGAAGCTCAGGCCATGTCAT